ATAACGAGGAACGGGGCGTACAAAAATTTTAACAATTTATCGCTTCAACAAGTTGTCGGAAATGGTTTCCTAAGTGCGGGCGACGGCAATTCCAGTGCCAAGTGCCACAGCTTTTAACGGTTAAATTATTCGTTGAACTGTATCGCGACGACGGAAAGCCCCGCTCTATTCGATTATTTATAAAACTGGTACAAAAAAAACGGACCATTACGGCTTCAATTGCATTCGAAAGTATCAAACTAATGAGGTAACAAAATGAATAAGAACTAAAAGTTCAGATTTTCACGAAATTATATTTTTTCACATGACAACACCGAGTCTTTATCAAATGTAATATTTACAAACGACTATATATACCGAAAAATGACATTCAAACCTTAATTAACGTTGTTGTGAGAATTTAAGTTCAATAAAGGAGAGATATTTAAATCTAATTGATCGATAAGCAATACATTTGAATGCCTCAATTTGTAAATCTCAATGGCTTCTAACAAATTTAATTTTCTACTTTTCGTGGCTGTATGTAAAATATCAAAATTGTCGTCAAAAATGTGTTTTTCTGTGTTTAAATGTGTAGCATAATTAGAATCTAGATTATTGTGTTTAAACGCACTTTTATGTTCGTTAATGCCTTTCTTGAAGGATCTACCTGTTTATCCAATATAAATTTTAGGAGAAGATCCGCATTTCAACCTGTAGACACCTGATTTTGAGATTTTGGACATTTCGTTTTATTGTTTTTTAAAAATTTTTGTTGTGTTGTATTGTTAGTTCTGAAAGCTATTTTTAAACCACATTTTGATAAATGTTTTGAAACTTTTTCACTGGGTTCTCCTATGTATGTAATTGTTCTGTATTAGATTTCGGATAAACAGAGTTTACTGTTATCTGGACTTGTTTTTTATTTATAATTTTATCTATAATGGACGGATTGCAGGCATTGTTTAGTGCAATTTATTTAATGATATTAAGTTCTTTGTTGTAATTTTCTGTTGAGAGTGGCGTATTAAGAAGTCTCTGTATAAAAGAGTGAAATGTAGCCATTTTGTGTGTATAAGGGTGATTTGAGCTGTTATGTATGACTGTGTGGTGGTATAGATACGTGGATGATGGACAGACAATTGAATTCTTTTTTAAATTACATTAACTCATTAAATAATAGTATAAAATTCACTATCGAGATTGAACAAGATAACTATTAATTTTTTAGACAGCTAAAAACCGCAAAACAAATTATTTATCATAAACCTTCACACACGGACACAGTCATTTTTGACGACAATTTTGATATTCAACATACAGCCACAAAAAGTAGAAAATTAAATTTATTGGAAGTCATGGAGATTAACAAAATGAGACATTCAAATGTATTGCTTAAGGATCCATTAGATTCAAATACCTCTCCTTTATTGAACTTAAATTTTCACAATATTAATTTTGGTTTTATTGTAATTTTTCGGTATATATAGCAGGGATAAATAAATGATGATATGATAAAGACACGGTGTTGTCGAAACAATTGTCATGTCAAAATATATAATTTCGTGAAAATCCGAACTTTTAGTTCTTATTTCAACTAATGAGGTATCTCATTTGGACCATGTTATGCAAAAAACTTCCAACCCTCGGATCAATAATATTGAGATATTTGAAATTGAACTTTTTCCAAATTAGAAAATTTGCAGCCAACGCACACATAACTGAATAAAAAAAAACAGTAGCAATAGTACAAGTATCATGTTATTTTACGGTATAACTTGTTTTTTTTTTTTTCAAAAATACCTAACATTGTGTGGCTTGGTAGGATTTTGCAAAATGGAAAACAGGAATAGGAAGTATCAACACATTTTCGATAGCTTAAGTATCTACTCTGCTTCAACATTGAAATCTAGCTCCTCCACGTCCAATCCATCTACTTCTTCAACTATACGTTTATCCGATTTTAAGTTGCTATAAAAAGGCAGAGCATCTCCGGGTATAAGATACATCGTTTAAGTTCTTAAGTTTCTCTTCAGTGATTGGTTTACCCTGAACTAATGGTTTTCGATGATCTTTGGTTTGCAATTATTTTCTTTACCTAAGATTTTACGGCAGTTGCTCATAATATCAATATCATGCGTTCTATATCGCTGAAATCCGAGTCATTTGGCGTATTTTGTAAAACATAATGAAGGAAAAGAGTCATTTTAATAGTTCTGTTTTGACCCCTCACGAGTCACTCCACAGAATAAGAGGTTTCACTTCTGAGATAAAGTATGTTTGACCATTTTTCAGAGAAACTTCCACAGTCTACTGTAATACTTTTTATAAAACTTCTGGATTCCTCCTGCGTCGGTTTTTGTTGACTCGAACTAGCTAACGTTTCGCCAATCATCCTGTTGGCTTCTTCAGAACTTAGCAGTTTCTTCGATGTCATACGCAATATTCAAGTTTCAGCCGTATTTATAATTTTGTTGCAAAACCACATAACATAACATAACAGTTGTCTCGTTTGGTTAATTTTGGTTAGTTAGTTAGCTTACTACTGTGTTATAAAATGTAAAGTAAAATAAACAATCTCTTTTGACAGAAAGTACGTCTAATTATCATAATTGTCATAAAGATATTTGTTTGCCCCTAGATGTTATTATAATAGTCTGGGTTTTTAGTAGGCTGTGAAATGTGACAAATCGGAAAATATACCCATCTGACAAAACGCAAGACTCATCTTCCATGTCGTTATTTAATTCCTGACGAAATCTCTTAATTATCTACTATTGCTTTCTCAGTGTCAGCAAAACGCATGTGGAGCTGAAAGAATAGAGGCAGCAAATTATATTATCCTAACGGAAGACATTTTAGTAGACCAGTATCTAGTCTAGTTTAAGTAAACGTTTGCCAATCCAGAAGAAAACTGTATTAATGTTCGTGTTTTTAAGACAATTTTTCTTTAATAGTAATGTTGGAACTTTTTAAGAAATCGCTTGCCGATTTTATTAGAAAAAGTTCCTTTACAAACCAACACACTTTTTTCACGAAGTTAGAAATTTTTTGGACCAGATGGGAAGGGGCAGTTTTTTCCCGTGGCCAGCCAAATTTCTAGACCTTATTGTAGTGGACGTAGAATAGAATATAGCCACGTTCAAGAGCGGAATACACGCAAGATAAATTGAAAATATCGTCGCATTTAATTTTTTTTTTCAGGAAATACTTTTTTTGCCATTGTGTGGTAATAGGATACTCAGTAGCAATCACCATCTTACTTATAGCAACTCTAAGCTTATTAAAATCTATTTAGGAGTTATGGGCATTCCCGGACCCACCAATACCACCAACACCAATCTACCAGTTTTCTTTTAGAAATAGAGTATCTATCTAACAAAAAATATTTGAAAAAGACTGTAATTGGAAGAACAATCATCCAACTATAAAGCTTTTAAGAGGATTAAATTTTTAATATCGCATAAACAAGAAAAGGCTGGTCCTAACCTTCAATTTTGTTTTGTTTGTACTGATGAGATATTTATTTACCGGCTAGACCACTAGATTTTAATTGTAGCTTATAGCACATAGTATTTAAATTGTTTGATATATTGCATAACATTTTTCTGTGTATTAGTTTTTGGGTACATTTTTTCAAAATCCGAGTATATTCACTGACATGACGCTATATCGGTGTGTAATTAGGTATTCTACAGACGGAAGTTTACCGCATTTGCTGTATAATATACTATTAACTATTTTAGTTCCTTAATATTACGAACACTGGGAAGTGTGAGTCCGAAATACGCCGTCTTCTGAACAAAATATGGAAAGCCAAATCATCCAAATAGTCTCCAAGCGTTGATGTCTCGCAATACGGTTCTCCATTCGGAGTGCCGTTAAAAAAATGTGGACCCAAAATTGGGTCCTTAGAAAAACCTGCCCACAGATTATGACTGAGTCGAACTTGCGGTTGAATTTTTCGAAATTGCCTGGAATTGTTAATGCTCCAGATATGTTCATTGTTTCAATCGAATATTCCACAATTTGTAAAAGTGCTTTCGTCTGTCCAAATCACATTTTCTAGGAAACCTGGAAAATCGGGTCTCCTTCGCAGCCAATTAAAAAATTTGGGAGACACGAATTTTGTAGCATTTGAACCATTTCTCTTTAGGTGACTCCAAGCACTCGTATGAGAAGAGTCACCTACATCAGGGTAAACTTGGAGTCTGGATTTTCACTGGTTCATATTTACCTCTAAAATGCCAACTTTTACTGAAAGGAATAAAATAATTTCACGTTAATCTTGCCTCATTAACTAAATTTTCTTTAGTTTCCTCATCCCTTGTGTCTCCATATTTTTGTCTTGGTTTTTCCAAGGAAGCAAACTCAGCGAGATTTCTTGTCTTCACACTGTTTCTATCGTTTTTATAATGGTAAAGTCCATCTTTAGTGACATGAAATGTCGACAGATTTAAGGGAACGCAAATACAACGTGTGATACACCGATAAATACGGGCATTCAACACTGGAAAAATCCAATATGGCGACTATAAGCAAAAATAAAGTTGATGATGGTTTGAGAAAAACGAAACGTCGTAAGGGATTTTTGAGCTGGCCTTAAGATGAAGGCTAAAAAATTCCAATGAGAATGTACTTACAGATCTGCAAGTTTTTAAGTATAGACAAAAAATAAAAATGAAAACCAGAAGTTACATATTTTCTCTTAATATTTCCGGAAGTAACAAAAATAACTGAAATTTCTTAAACATGTTACATTAAATGACGTGCATTAATAGAGGTTTGCCCGGCCTGTAGATGAATTACCGATCCCAAACATGAAGCTCAATCGGGCGTGTCATAACGACACTGTTTTCGTATGTTTGCGGGTTTCCCTAATTTGCGAAAGCGCGTCAAATATTCGTGCGGGTATTAATTATTACATACTAAGTGCAACATTAAAATGTCTGGTCACATTGCAAGACGTAGACACAAAATTGGCACCCAATGTTACGCGAGATATATACCGAGTAATTGAAACTTACAGCGCCTATTGTTAGTCAGAGCCCATTATTATTATCATCTATACAAAGTCGTGTATGGTCGCTTACTCGGTTATTAATTGTGTAAAGGTGACGATAACGTGGACGCCATTTATAATTTAAACTGAACAAATATGAGACAAAAGTGAATTATTTAATCATTGTAGTGTGTCGTTTGAAACCTAAGGCTGGTCAACTATAGTTTAGACAGCTTTCGCCATGTTGTGCCAGAAATCTTTTTGCATATCCGCCTACGTAATATGTTGCAAAAATCGTGGTAAGTTTCTAACCGCCCTATACGTTCGCCTTAGAAATTACGTAACAGTAAGATGGCATATCTTTTAGAGATAGTGAGTAATAACAGTTTAATTGTTTATGTAAAATCAGTGCCGGACGCTCAATAGGAGTTTTAAACTAGCCAAATATACTTTTTATAAAAGTTCTGGATTCCTCCTGGGTCGGTTTTTGCTGACGTTTCGTCAATCATCCTGTTGGCATCTGCAGAGCTTGACTGAAACTGGCTCGCATTTTACTCTGTACCTGCTTGTATATTGTTTGAGGGGCATAAACACTGTCTCGGATGACTCATTCCCATATTGGTGACAGGTGAAGACCTGAGTCGCGGTTAAGATTGTTAGGTTGCTTACAGATTTCCATACACTCTCTGATTTTTCGTTGGTAGAGGAATGGATTACATGCAAGAATTTTAGTTTTATCAAATAAAATTTTATGTCCAGTTTCATGATTGTGTTCGGCAACTGCTGATGAGTTTAACGCTCTTTCATGTTCTTTGAGCCTACTTGATATTTTTCGTCCGCTCTCTGCAATTAATTCTTTGTCGCATATGCATGGAATGCTGTAAACTCCTGGCATCTCAAATTTAACTATTTCTTTGAAGGATCGAAGATGTTGAGATATTTTTGGACAAGTGGTACATCTGGATTTGACGTTATATTTCTTTAGAACTTTTGATATATGATCAGTGATATTTTGAATGTAAGGAAGAGCGACAGTGGCAAGTGTGGAATTGCTTTCGACTTCATTACTGTTGGAAGATTGTGGTGAAGTGTGTTTTGTGATGGAACGCTTAATATCTTTAATGTGGAAATTACTAGAAAGAAGAGCAGGGGAAAGGTGTAATTCTGGGTCCAATGACTCGGGCTGAGATAGTTTTACAGCTCTATTAACAACAAAGTCGATAACCGATGATTTTTGGGCCGGATGGTGATGTGACAATGCATTAAGGTATCGGCCTGTGTGCGTAGGTTTTCTGTAAATACAATGACCCAATGTTAGGTCTGATTTTCTATTGATAAGGATATCTAAGAATGGGCGGTTGTTATTAGTATCTATTTCATTGAAAAAACGTATGTTAGGGTGTATAGAGTTTAAATGTCTATGAAAATCTACTAGGAATTCCTAATGTAGGTTGATACACTTTAGAGTAGTATACATATAATGAAAGTTTACAATATACAGTATATGTTTATAATAAAGGAAAATAAATAAATAATACATATTATACCAATATTTAGCGAATACATTAATATTAAATGTCATATTGAAGTTAAAATATTATTTATATTTAAGAACTAAAGAAATTAAATAGATGCTGACGTATATAAACACGTATCTGACTCTTATTCCGCAGAATCAGATTCGTCTACGCAGCATTTATCATCTACATTAATTACCATGAGTAACAATTTTATCTGGAAGTCACATGTATATGTTCAATAATTCATTTACTTCCGGACTTGTAAGTAGGAATTATTCGGAAGGTCCAGAATAATAATAATAATTATTATTATCTATTATTTGTTCAACCCATTATCTAATTTTGCAGTACCTTTGGGATTGCTCGATTCAAAATCCGGCCCCTTTTTACATCTAAGTAGCCGACCACCCCTGCTAATGGTTTTTATTAAGTATTTCTGCTTTTCTTTATCCAGTGCAGGTAGTACTTGATTAAGAAACTCGTCGGAACGTCGGAAAGACTCCCGGTGGATCGATGATGCCAGGTCTATCTTCATTCAGAACCCTGGAAATTGTGCCACATTACAATCGACACTCCGAGATGCGTTTTCAATATTCACCTCATCATAAAAATAAAAACATTTTTTACTTTGTTGGTCTACATTTTTCATAACTAAAGATTACTTGACCGATTCACTGAATAAGTAAATACACAACATCGCGTTGGTTTTTATGGGACAACTATTTGTACCTGTATTATTATTATTAGGCCATTACATTTTAAGAATCAAGATGGCACTTAAGTTATATTATAGAATTTCTCTATGTTTGTTTGTCTACGGCGACAACCATTTTTGATGGTTTATTACTCGCTACCATTAAAAGATAAGTACAAAGCTTGCATTTTTATTTGGTTTAATAATTTCCCATTTGTTAGTCAATTAGAATGAGTAATAGATGATGTTTTTCAAAAATGTGTGCTTTGCATAAAGCTGCCAACCAAAACAAGATTTTTTGATTTTTTAAATTAATTATTAAATTAAATTATTAATTAATTATGAGTGAGAACAAACAATACAGTTAAAACAGAATCATCCATCTGCCTTTTGAACTGAGGTGGCTTTTACTTGATGAAAATCCATTTAACAAAATAAATAGGAACTAAAAGTTCAGATTTTCACGAAATTATGTATTTTCGCTTGACAATTATTTCGACAACACCGTGTCTTTGTCATATGAAATATAATAATATGTGTCGTGTAATAATAGAGAGTTATTTAAATCTAGTTGATCGTTAAGCAATACATTTGAATGTGTCATTTTGTTAATCTCCATGGCTTCCAATAAATTTAATTAATGTATTAGGTTTCGAATAAATAGAGTTTACTGTTGTCTGGGTTTGTTTTTATTTATAATTTTGTCGATAATGGACGGATTGTAGCCGCTGTTCAGTGCAATTTGTTTAATGATATTAAGTTCTTTGTTGTAATTTTTTATTGAGGGTGGCGTATTAAGAATATATAAAAGAATGAAAGACAGCCATTTTGTTTGTATAAGGGTATTTTGAGCTGTTATGTATGACTGTGTCCCTGTGTGAAGGTTTATGGTGAATGGAAAAATCTAATTTGCTTTGTGTTGTCGTAAAAATGAAGTCTAAAAAATGAATAGAGTTACCCTGTTCAATCTTAGTCCTTCCGGGGAACAAAATATTGGCAAAAAAACTGATTTTCTCGATAAAGTATTTTATATTTCGGTTATTTATTAGTCTAAGAATTTGAAACTTATAAGTAATATGCTTTGGTATTTTCTCTATTTAATGATACCAAAAAGTTTTACACAAGTTGTATGGTTTGTTGTCGGGAACGGTTTCTTTCGGAGACTGCAATTTAATATATATATATATATATATATATATATATATATATATATATATATATAAATGGTTCTTATTTATTTTGTCATCAGCTCTTTTGTTACATTTTATCTATCAATAATATTCATAAAATGTTTGAAAACAGCTAGTTAATAATACAAGGCCCATAAATACGAAACATTTCACACACTGCAACTTGCACTTTGTTCTGTTTTCTTTGTAATCAGCGCTACTCGGTTAACTGGACATTGAACGGGATCTGGGCAATTTTTACAAAATACATCTGGACAAACGTAACGTTGAAATGGATACTATGGTTAAGAACGGCAAATATTAACTTAATTAATTATATAAATATTAAGTTTTTTCACAGCTTTGTCCATGTTGATAATCTGAGTGACCGTGATGGATACTGAATTACTGGAGTATTTTAGAAGAAACAAACACGCTTCAAGCTCTAATTTTTCCGGTGTCGAGGAAATCGTAATATTAAACATAATTAATAGTGTTGAAACTAAAAGTGTAGGGGTGGATCGTTAGTTAAACTTTGTATTCCTCATATATTATCTCACATCACAGATATAATACATATTTGTTTACAAAAATCTATTTTTCCTGATCAATGGAAAAAAGCCTAAAATGCAAACGAATTTTAATAATATCAGACCTATCACTATTCACGACCTTAAAAGTATATTTTGTAGAACAACTCTTTTATACCGGCAAATCAATCAGGTTCTAAAGCTGGACACAGTTGCACAACTGCCCTCTTGAAAATCGTTGTATACCTCAATGAGTACTACAACTATTGGAAGGAATACAATTATGAAATTCGACGCAAAATAAATGTCACCGCCAGTTATTATTATTATAGAAAAAAAAACTTTTCAACCATTCTAAAGCAATTATATCACGAAACTAGCCCCTTTATGCTTAAGTTAATAAATGATCAGTTGAAAAAGGCATAAAGGAATGAAAGATTTCGTTGACCAGGCTCACGGCTAGTGCAAACACTAATATGACGTAGTTAGGCCGAAACATTTGAATGTAATTTTTGCTTTGCTCTTTATAACAGAATATTTTTTAATCTTTCTTTTTAGTAATTAAAGTTTACAAGTGGTTTGTTTTCAGAACGGGCTTTAGAGATAAGCGACTTCGACGGCATAGTATCAACGGCAACGATGGGCGGTCGACAACTCAGCAAATCGACATCAGAGCTGAGTAGCCCCCGAGAAATGCCCGAAATTCGACCCAGTTCAGCTGCTCCTCCCGAGCACTCCCACATTACCGTGTACCAAAAGGCACATAGTTTTTTTGCTCAATTGAGGGTAAGCAGGATTTTCTACGGAAAATCAAGAAAAATTACATTACTCTATTTAAGAATACGTAATTTCCCGATGATAACCTACAGGACAAATGATCTTACCAATCTGTTATATTGGTTTTCCTAAAATATATATAGATTTGCATCATCAAGTTAAATAAATAAAATAAAATCAAGTTAAAATAAAATTAATATGCAGAAAGTTATAATCATTCTAATTAACAAATACATTTTACATAGTATAAAATTATCGAATCAATTTTTTTAAAGCCATGAATTCAAGAGAAAGTTAAAAAGTAGTTTTTATAGTTACGTTTTCTTGGAATGTATGGGGCAAAAAATGTATTCAGTCTCCACTATTATTACCTTCAGATAGCAAATATTTCTTTTTTGATCTGGTTGAATGGTTTATAATATTTAAGTTGTATAGCGCACTATCTGGAAAGTAATTTAGCTGGAAGTGTCCAAAAAAGTACAGTAAGTTTAGTTTCAATATCTCAAAAGCTATCCACTTTTCCATTGTGCATATTATTGCATTTACTCTTCACTTCCTCCGCTTTCATACCTTCAAAGAAGTGTTAGGAATTATTCCACATCAAGATTTTTAAATGAAACATTTCACTACTAGCGTTTCTGTTGTTGCTTACATATTTTTAAAAATATCATTACTGAACTGAAATGTTATTACTAAATCTTAAAAAAGGTAAATAGTTCAGAATCAGTATTTTAGGCTAGTAGGCATAGAAAAGATATGATTTCGTTATATTTTTCTTGAAAAGTGTATATTGTTAAATTTAATTTTTTAATTTTAAGTATTTAAAGTCACCTTAAAAATTTGAAATGGCCGTTACTCTTGGGAAATTTGGAAACATTAGTAATAAAAAAAAATAAATAAATAAAGCTAAACAAAAAAGCAAAATGCAGGAGCCAAGTTTTTTTCCAGGTACCGTATAAAACAAAACACTATCAACTTTCTCACATATAAGCCTACCTCATATAATTTTAAATAGAACACCCTGTATTTTGAATATGTGTTTAATATCGTATTCCGATTATAATGATGTAACACATCTTATATATTAGTCCACTCGTTTTTGAAAAATCAGCAAAAATAGGATTTTTTTTATATAATTTCCAAGATTGTCGTGACTGAGTGCAACAACAGTAATTATTTACAAATTAAAGTAGAACAAAAACACTAACAATTACAACACACGCTAAAGTGAAAAATTCTTTAACTATTCTAAATACGACTGTATGTGACCACCATTTTCCTGAACACATTTGTCATACACTTCACATTTCTCATATTTCTCATACACCCTAATTGTTAACTGAATGATTGCCTCTGAAATCCTTTGCCGAAGTGTAACGTCATTATTCCAAGGAGTTCTGCGCACTTGATTTTTTATGTGCCCCAAAAGAAAAAATCCATTAAAGTTAAGTCGGAGCTGTTAGCTGACCAATCCATAGTTCCGCCGTTCCCTATCCAACCCCTGGAATATTCAATGTTAAGAAAATTTTTAACTTGCGCAACATTGTGAGGAGGGGCACCGTCTTGCTGCCATATAATCAGCCCTGATATATTCAGGGGTAAAGTATGTTCATAGATGTGGAGGGATGTTGAAAACTTCGGTTTCTATAAGTTTGAGGACATTGGAGTTAACACGGGGAAAACATTGTTACGACGAATGGAAGATTTCAGTCAAACATGTTCAGTAGGATTAGATATACAGTGGTAAGGTGGAAGGCTTAAAACTGTATGCTCTAGATTTTTTGCATAATTATCACAGACGTATTCCTTTTGTAGGTTCAGGCTTTGTAGAACCTCACAGTAGGTATAAAATTATTTTCTATTACGGACCACAACTTTACCTGAATTTAAATTCCGAAACTTTAGGTAATAATCTTGTTGCATTGTGTGTTAGTGACCACCCTTGGATAATCCCATTCAAAAGCAATTGGTCACTTTCTTATATCTATGAACAGATCATAAATCTTCTATATATTACTCTCTTTGGTGTTCTAAGAGTTGCACTCTGATCTCCAATCAACTTTTGATCTCTAAATATCGGACCCAAAGTATGCCCATCTATCACACCACAACATACATTAATTAAAATAAATAAGAACCAAAAGTTCAGATTTACACGAAATTATATATTTTTACATGACAATTGTTTGTTATCACATTTGCCACCTCAGTTCAATCACACATTAATTGATTGGTACCCCTGGGTTTTTATTTCGTGCAGATGTCTAGGATTATTTAAAGACCAATATTGCGTATTTGGTCAATTACAACCCTTTGTTGAAGCGAATCGACTGTCATCAGTCCATTTGTTATTCTCATTATGTCTATTTAGAAAATCCAAACAAAACTGCATCCTCCTTTGACATCATTCTGCACTTGGTTTTTGAGTTTTACGAAATTCAAATGCATTATATTTATATTCTTTCAAAACTGAGTGGGTTGATCCCCGGGAAATACCTGTCTCTTCCTATACTCCAGTAATAGACAAAACTGGATGTGTTTCATAGAATCTTTAATATGTTTGCCTTATTTTCTTCATATAAAACATGATTCCGGCATACCATTATAGAATTTAATACGTTACCGTTTTCTGCAAATTTCTTTGCCAGCCTTGGAAATATCTGTTTTGAAGGAGCTCAGCGCTCTGACGATGAGCTGCGTTTGCTCTTTTGTTATTCAGAAAGTGTACTTGAAGCATATCACTCCTTTCACCGGTGCTAAATTCGCGAGGAACCATTTTAACAGTAATGACTTGGACAATAATTCAACCACCAACGTTGTTTACTAATAATATTATATACTAATTACATATATGTTATAGAGGGTGTTCCATTTTAAAAAATATGGTGTGGGATAATATATGTTAGAAAATTGATAGTGTTTTGTTTCTACGACACTTGGAAAAAACTTGGCTACTATATTTTGTTTTTTTTTGTTTACCTTGATATCTCTAAAAACAAAAAAATACAGCCAATTAAAATTTTATCAAGATAAATTGAACGCACGGTACATTTACAGCATTTGTTATGATCTGTCAGACGCGTCCGCGCAGTATAGATTAGGATTGGTTAGTCAAGAGCCTGTTTGGCGCCTGAAATATTTTTGCGATCGCGTTATTGCGTGTTGCAGAATCGACTGGGGCACAGCAAGCGGGAGAAACGTCACAAATCTCCCGGCAGGCAGGAATCGTCGGATTACGCTGCAGATCTTAGTAGTGACCACAGCACGCCGAGTACAGCTAGTCCCAGGCACCGGATCTACACGAGAACAGGCGAGTTATGGTGTTCTTTCAAACTTCCGTGTTTGCGTTCTCGATGCGTTCGTTCCGGTTAGTTTGGGTTTCATTTCTTCCTTTTTTTGTAGCAAAAAGGCTGCATTCGCTGATTGCGTAGTCATATAATTTCGTTTTCGGCGTTATATTTTGAAAATACATCGAACATTTGGAAGGGAACGCAATATATGTTTAAAAAATTGCGAATTTGTAAAATCTTTAGTATAGAGAATTATACTTTTTTACCACCTAAAATTAAACGAAAGGCTTTCTATGTACATAAGAATTTTATTTCATTCTGCTTTAAATTTTTGGATTACATTTTATGAACCGAGAAATTGATTGTTTTATTGTCTAAAAGAAAAAAAAATGGTTTTTGGTTATGCGTTTTCTTGCAAAATTTTGGTACAAAAATTTTATTAACTTCAGAAATATCAGGAAACAGTCTGCTTTGATTTTTTATTATACTTTTTGAACAGAGATTTTCATTTTTTATAGTGCTTAAAAGTAAAATAATAATTTTTAGCTTACATTTTTTCATGCAAAAACTTTGTTACATAAATTTTATAAAATTCAGAAATATCAGGAAATAGTCTGCTTCCATTTTTTTATTATATGTTTTGATTTTCTTTATTTTCTAAAAAGAAAAATACGTTTTTTTTTGTAACACTTTGGTACGTACACAAATTTTATTGAATTCAGAAATATCAGGAAGCAGTCTAAATATTTTATTATATTTTTTGAACAAAGATTTTAAATTTTTATAGTGTTTAAAAGTAAAAAAAATAATTTTTGGCTTATATTTTTCATGCAAAAACTTTGGTACACAAATTTTATTAAATTCGGAAATGTCAGGAAACAGTCTGCTTCAATTTTTTTATTGTATTTTTTGAACAGAGAAATTGTTTTTTTTTTGTTGTCTAAAAAGAGAAAAAGAACTTGGTTTTTGGTTAGCAAAATTTTGGTAGGTAAATTTTATTAAATTCAGAAATATGAGGAACCAGTCTGCTTTGATTTTATATATAGTGTTTAAAAGTAAAATACAAATAATTTTTCGCTTACATTTTTTTTTTCATGGAAAAACTTTGGTACACAAATTTTATTAAATTAAAAAATGTCAGGAAATAGTCTGCTTCAATTTTTTTATTATATTTTTTGAACCGAGAAATTTATTTTTTGTAGTTTGAAAGGAAAAAAAACCTGGTTTTGGGCTTATACTTTTTCTAGTATGCAAATTGTATTAATTTCACAAATGTCAGGAAACAGTCTGCTTTAACTTTTTGATTATATTTATTGAACTTTTTTTTTAATAAAAAAAAACTTAATTTTTGGCTTATCCTTTTTTCTTGCAAAAACCTTGGTAATTTGATAAATTTAGAAATGTCAGAAAATAATCGTGTTTTCGTTTCCTTACAACATTTTTTGAACAAAGAATTTGATTTTTTGTATTGTCTAAAATAAAAAAAAATACACACACACTACACAAATTTGTCATGTCAGTGTTTATCTTTTCTATTATATTTTTTGAACGAAAATTTTGTTTCTTTGGTGTTCTATCTATTTTATTATTTTTTGGTTTATAGTTTTTCTTGCAAAATTGGAATACAAAAATTATATTAAATTCAGAAATGCCAGGAAACCGTCTGCTTAAATTTTTTCATTATACTTTTTGAACAAAAATCAGTTAATTTTTGACATATGCTTTTTCTTGCACAATCTGCAATTTGTTAGAATTTGTCTTTTGAATTATATTAAAAAAAATGGATTAAATGTCATTAAAATTATTATTTAAACTTTTTTTATATCTTTGGAACAGAGAATTTGAGTTTTATATTGTCTAACAATAAACGAAGTCATTAAATACTGATTTTTGAATTATATTCATCCTAACGAATTTTGCAAACGTTAAAAATAAAATTATGTTCTTTTCTCCACATTTTAGAAATATATTTCAATGCTTTTTTCTCATTTTTGATGATTTCGATGGCTGATAATTATTTTTTCATTAAGGAATATGTAAAAGTGAGTGTTTGAATCAGTGCAAAATTTATTTATCAACGAATCCTGACGTTTTGGTGGATGCTCAGGGTCATCGTAAATATTTGCAACTTTTATAACACATATATAATCACAGAAATTGGATAATATGTGCTCAGGCTGACTAGAATATAAAGTATTTATAACTTTTGATATGGTAGGTATGTTAGGTATATTGGGTACCTTGTAATCAGAGTTTGCCGACCCGCATATAGTTTGTTATTCAAATATTCAGCGAACGTTTCGCAAATCAGTCGCTAACGAAGTGTATTGATATTCATGAAAAAGTATATCAAAACGTATAATTGCAACATTTTTGTACATTTACGTCGCTTAGTAATTAATTGAAATGTACAATTAAGTTTATATTTCTACATTTTATCTGTTTGAATTTAAAAATATCTTCGTTTGGTCGCTTCCAATCCATTTAATGTAAAACAGAAGTTTAAATTATACCACTGTCAAAATCAAAATAATTTCTTCCACCGGCCTATAGCGGAAACGAGGTCATTCATTAAATTTTCAGCTGAACAAACAGTAAATGAGAATTGCGAATTTGTATTGACGTAAGACACTCTTATAATCGGAATTTTTTCAAGCATCGAATTCCTACTTGGCAGGGATCCATCCTTTGAAGACTTCGAAAGATTCGCTATCGGTTTTATGATTCATTAGAAAACTCTATATGAATATTCAAATTCAAAAACTGTTTATTTCCATTTAGACCTGAGTACAGAACGAATTATTGAAGTACGCCGTTCCCAAGCTAATTAGAGAACTAACAGCGTTTTTAAACAAGATTGCAAGTTCGTGGCGCGTAGCGCGGATTCTTGTCCTAGAGGAACGCATTGTTTTTCTATCGTGCTCCTGCGGACCATTATGGAACTTTCGCAAAATCGGTGTAATTTTATTGTGGACACACACTGTATACCGTCTTTCAAGCCTTGAAAGTTTCAGCAAGCTCAATTTTCAGTTTTTTGCAAATTACCGACGCACCCTGTACATTTTTAAAAAATCATCAAGAATAAAAGTTTTTGGCCCGGATCTTGCGTGTCGTTCGGTTAAAGAATTTTTTTAATCGCATGTACCATCTTGGAGAAATGATTTTTTTCTCAGTACCCTGCAATTGCGGTTTTTAAATTTTTGAAATACTTCCCGACCCCCCAGCCCCCCAGTTTCAATAGGCTTTGTTACGGAGCTAAGCGCTATATATCTGTCAAATTTCAAGTGGATGGCTTCAAATTTAGGACACTTATCTCGTTTCATAGCAATGTCCAAAAAACAGTCGAAAATCTAAAAAAAAGGACGCCTTCGTTTGATCAGACTCATTTTTTATTGGTTTGTGTAGATCGAGCACGGCTTAAAAGGAGCCAAATTTAAAGGCCATGTTGCAAACCGTTCAAAAGATATAGCCAATTAATGCCAGGCCTACAGAGAAAAGGAGAACAGAAAAAAAAAAGTTTTTTTTTCGTCGCTGATCATTTCTGTACCAATGGCGGTCCCCTGGGACCTACAGTTGCCGAGACATGTTTCGTTACCAAGCGCGTATATTTTCGATTTTTCGAAACTAACAAGTTAATACGAAGATCCGAAATACCGGAAGACTGGATGATAAGGATAATGGTACCATTTTATTAAAGGGGGAGGAAACTGATCCAAATAACTGTCGAGGAATTAACCTCCTACGCCAACAAAATAACTCCACTTGTAAAACTCTCTGAAGAACAACAAGGTTTCAGAATTAGACAAATTAGAGAAAAATCAATTGAGTACAATGCTTCATAGACTTAGAAAAACCATTTGATAGAGTGCAGCTACAGGGCGCGATACATATACTTTATAACAGAAATATCCCATTTGATATAATAAATCTAATCGAAAATATATACAAAAGAAATAATATAGAAGTTAGAGTAAATCCGGAGCTAACCGAGTACATAGATGTAACTAAAGGTATTAAGCAAGGAGACTCACTAAGCCCTGTATCATCTAATATTATATTAGACGAAATAATAAGAGAAGTAATAACATACGTCGACGATGCAAAGAAATTTAACATGAAAATATCTTCCAAAACAAACTAAATCACTCGTAATCTCTAAAGAAACAATTAGATTTAAGCTGGAATGTCATAACCAAATTATAAAGCATCTAATGAACATCAAATATGCAAGATCAAGATGCCTAAACATTACGAAAAAAGCAGGAAACACACTGTGGCATAAAAAGAGAAACGAAAACATAAGACACATATGTGGAATTGAAAACATTAACACCTGGACAAGAAATAGAAAGCAAGAATGGACTCAACATATAGATAGAATGTCTGAACCACGGATAGTGAGTATAGCAAGAGATAAATCGTCTGCCGGTCGGAGGAATATAAAATTACATTGGAGTAAAACAGGCAGAAGTGCCTAATATAGAGAAACAAGAAGAAATAAACACATTGCAACTTTTGTCAAACATTTATGTCCGTTTTAGTTGCTTTCTGGTTCAATTTAAACTTTATGTTTGCTTTTAAACTGTCAGAATGATTATCTCTTACATTTTTGATAATTGCGCGCTGTTATCGTTTGAATATTTAAAATTTCAGTCGTACGTTGTTTACACAAAATCAGCATTTTAATATTAATTTATATTTATAAAAATGGAGTAAAATTACAGTTAAGTTTTAGAAATTTCTAGCTAATAAACTAGAAAATGATATTTTGCGTTAATATTTACATAATTCCTAACAAATATTAATTAGTAATTTAGTGAACTTGCCTCAAGGACACTCTTGCATGAATTTTTTTTTAAACTATAGCCAAAACTGTTGTAAAAGGTACGAGTGTGGATATCTTGTAACTCTGGGTGACGAATCCGTCCATATAGTAAAAAAAAAAACACATGACACGAGTTTACGGGCTTTTGTCTAATGGTGTTTGCATGTTACGAGCCTGCTTAACATCGCTTCTTAATTGTTAATGGAAAATGAGCGGTAATCAACATGTAGCGCTTTAGTTTCGTCCGTGTGT